ATACGACTCAGTTGGTACAGTTAATTGCAGTTTTTGTGTTTAAAATAATGGAACAACTAATCTGCTACACAAAAAATACAAAAACTAAAACATTAGAGGTACAAAACACAAAAAAAGGGGACAATAGACAAAAAATCTGGATTTTTTATAAAAAATCTTCAAAGTCCCATAACTTGAGAACGATTAAGTTTGGGCTAGGGGGTTCCATAGTCAAATCAGTCAGAAATGATGGCAACTACCACCTCTTAAAGGATTTAGGTCGACTTAACCTGTAACCCTGTATATAGGTATGATATTACTAAAACCAGCTCTGTATTTAATATAAATGACAGATGTGTGTCACTTTCCAATATTGTACGACTGTACTGCACGTATTCATTCGTTTACCTCCACTAAAGCAGTTCTCTAGTCAATCTTATTATCAGCATGGAAAAGTGGTCCTATTGCAAGAATTGAGTAATTTGTGATAAAAAATTTGATTTATCACTATTTACCTTGATGTTGATACCTATTATTTATAGGCTTATTATCGATTAGATATATAATCAAAACTAATTTAGTCTGTCCTTCTTTGTCGTAGTCAACAGTAGCGTTCAATAACGATGGGGGAACAAAAAGATCAGTTGTTTCCATATGAGTTTAAGGAGCTTGATCCTGAAGAAGAAAAATTGGTAGAAGACAATTTAGGGCGTAAGTTATTTTCGATTTAAAATCAATTTATATAAGGGCAAATCCATCTATACCTCTCTTGTATGCAGTTTCATTTTCAATAGTTTTTGTATAAAATTGGGACTCGAAATCTCGGACTCTAACTTAAAAATCGTTACGAAAATTGTTCATTATTTTCAAATACTTACTGCATTAGCGTAATAAAATTGCCTGTCGCATTTTTATGTTCTACAGCTTTTCCGACAAGTTTGATCAAAGTGGGGCCAAAAGGTTACATTGCATACAGACCTTACAAGAGAGATGCTGCAAATGTCTACAACATGCCTCTTAGACCTACTGACGTGTTCGTGGCCAGTTATCAGCGATCAGGTAAATTCTTACTTCTTAATTTCATTCTTAATACGCGTCTATTTAAGTCTGGTAGATATTTAAAATTGTGGGAGCTAGTAGATTCGAAACTGAATAAATAAAAAATATATCCAACCAACAAGTGAATGTCTAAGATTATTTAAGTAATCAAGTATTTATTGCATCCATAATGTACCTACATGTACAAGGTGGTTAGAATATACAATAGTAACTATTATGGACCTGTCGGGCACAGCAACATTTAAAATTGGTAGGAGAGAGGAAGGGCGTTTTGTTTGATTGCTATCAATGTAATGTCAAAATTAATAAAAAAAGTTATTTGGTGAGAGGATGGATGATACGTGGGTGATTATAATGTTAATCTTTGTTTTAGGTTAAAATTACTATGATTACCAAATTATTTATTCAATTTTATATTTTTTTATTTTGTTTTTGAATTGTTAATTTTTTATTTCTTATGTTTAATTACCTAATTAGTTTTTTTTTTAAGTACCTAAATAATAGTATTTATATAAGATTAACAGTATAGATAAAATAATGGCGTAAGTAGTATTGTTATATATGTAAATAATAACTAATAACATAAATAATAACAAATGTTTATAGTAGCTTCACAGTGTTATTTAACAGGTGAAAATGTTTACAATTACATTTTAGAAGTCGAGAATATTAATTATTTCGTGATTATTAATAATAAGGTTATAGCCTTGAACACAAATGTTCTTCAAATCTTTGTGATGCAAAATAATTGTTTCTCCAGGAACTACGTGGACTCAAGAACTGGTTTGGTTGATCGCAAACGACTTAAACTACGAAAAAGCTGCGGAGATACCACTGACACATCGTTATCCGTTTTTGGAGTTAGTACGAATTCAACATTGCCATTTTTATCAGTTGCATACCTACATACTTATGTTCACGTCTGTCTCCCCTTGGAGACACAATAGGATGCCAAATTACACGATTCTAGCATACCTACCTCTTACGTTCTATCTACATTCATCAATCCCATACATAATTCATAATTGCATAATATTTGAATTATTACAGCGTCTTCATGTTCTTTGACCCAAACGAGAAAGAAAAATACATAAACGTTATGTCGAAAACAGAAGAAAATTTCGACACAGAAAAGTACTCACAAGTATTAGATATGATGAGCCGACCAGCGACTTCACTGCTCGAAGAAATACCATTAACAGAAAAACGGTTCATCAAGACACACTTACCGATGTCCTTGATGCCTCCCACACTCTTGGATACTGCGAAGGTGGTATACGTGGCTCGAGACCCTAGAGACGTAGCTGTATCCTGCTATTATCATGCAAGGCTATTTAAGATGATGAAACTGGACAGAAGCTTTAAAGACTTCTGGAATATGTTCCATCGAGACCTATGTAAGTAGGAAGAGGAAAAAAGACTAATACAAAGAAATTAGTACTAACTTTATTTACCTTTGATATGGTCACTGGTCAGCCACTATAAATCTAAGATAACCTTCTGTATCGTATCTTAGTTAATTCTGTATTCCGAGTTCAGTTATGATAGTTATCGATATCTTTTGGTTTCCAGACACATTGACGCCGTTTTTTGAACATGTAAAGGAAGCTTGGGAGAAGAGACATGAACCCAACATGCTGTTCTTGTTTTACGAAGAACTCTCGAAGGTAATTGAAATTCGTTTTCGAGAAAATATTTTTGAAAATAGAGTATTCAGTATTATAATATTTTTAACCTTGAACTATTTTAGGATTTACCGGCCATCATTAACCGGGTGGCAGATTTCTTAGGCAAAAAGTTGAATGAAGAACAAATGAACCGCCTCTGCGACCACCTTAGTATTGAAAACTTTAAGAATAATAAATCTGTGAATTATGAGGACATGAGGGATCTTGGAGTACTCGCCAAGGGAGAAACTTTTATAAGGAAAGGTAAGCAAACATAATTCTAAAGCACAGCATATCTATTACCAATACTACATCTATGTTGATTATAACAACAACAGTATTACTTACAACACGTTGGTAGTAAGTAATTTATTTAAGTAGGTGCGTAATTTCGCCTTTATTTTGTTCTAAGGTAAATCAGGTGGATGGCGTGACCACTTCGACGAGGAGATGACTCAACAAGCTGAAAAATGGATCGAAGACAACCTGAAGGATACTGACCTGCGCTTTCCATTTATGAAATAAATAAACAATAGCTTCATTTAGTACTAACTGTGTCTGTGTGTACAGGCAACATCGTCTGCGTTTTACTAAAATAAAAATAATCTATATTACTCCTTAGTATATCAGCTACCTGCCAATAAAATTCCCGTCAAAATCAGTCTAGACATTTCAGAAATTAGCTAGTGACTGAGAAAATTTGTAAAATTATACATGAATACATAATTATAATTATGGATATCGTTACCGCTTCGTGGACATAAGCATTTGTCGTTTGCCATTCATAGGCTGCCTATTGTCAAATGACAGGTCGTGGACAGTAGGTCTTAGTTTCACATGTCCTGAGGTTTGCCTATCTGCAACAGAATCTTGCAAATCAATTCCCCCTCCTGTAGTACTTTGAGACCTATACCAATCATCCTTATCATAAATTGGGATGTCTAGATACCAGAATTTGTTGCCACTATCTATGTTGCCATTTGGCATTTTTTTCACATAACTAAACATAAAACTACGGCTATTGTATTGACATGACACAGATGGGGGTGATGGATGGATTCTAGTATTCTTAGATAGAGTTAACCCTTGGTATTATATATTGCGAAACCATAACACGTCTACGTGACACATACATATATTTATCGTGTGCAATATCCTACTGGCAGTCAAAAGATTATGCTATCATCATACTTCTTGGCACTTACACATCCATTGTAACAAATTCTGGTCTTCAAGTCGATGTAACTTTTTCTGACTTTTCAGCTGTATTCTCATATATAAGGTACTAAGTTGGCTGAGACCCTCGATTGACATAGGTCTCGAAATACTACAGGGGGGAGAACAAAGTCTGTGTATTTATTTAGCGTTGTCCCTTGTTCCACTTTCCGGTTACCACCCACCCATTGAGCTGAAATTTTGCACACATATGTAAATTGCATGACCTTGCAATATTGTGGTGTCATAGTGCTGATCTGATGATGGAGCTAGAAGATAACAATAGCAACTCATTCATTAAGCGACATACCACATTGAATTCGATTCTTAATTGGTGACACTATATTTGGGATATCTTTGTTTAATGCTACGTTATTTTGTGCAAAAGTCCCTAACCTACCTGACCTAATGATATATTAAATTTTTAAGCGAAAATTACCAAATGTCTTCAAAATTCACTGAATAAAATCACATGATGTTTACTATCCGGTTATAGCTTACAGGGTTATAGGTACAGATTTGATTTTGGAGGCGGCAGCTCGGTAATTCAGACTAGTGCCTCATTGAAATTACAATTAGGCGGACCGGAACTAACTAATAATCAATTTAGATTAGTTTTTTAAATTACATATACCTCTATAAACGAAACCCCATCTGGAACGTACATGGTGTCTTCATAATGAAATAGGCGACAAAAAAAAATAAAAAATAAGAGGAGTTCACCGGTCTGTCTCGTGAAAGGATAAAATGATATAGCACATTTAATCAAACAAAGATCCCGAGGTGGCGACGTCCTAATATCTATTTGTCCAGATAAATAGAAAACAATGATGCGCAAGGTCAAAAACTGTAATCTAGAATTACAATCTACCAATAACAAAATATAAGTACTGGGTCGTTTCTTTGTATTTCTTGGCTCATTCACATACGGTCCCTAGTCCACAAAGACATGCGCAGATTCCACTAAACAACTCAGTGACTCGCACAAAAAATTATGATAAAAATACCTAAAGATAGACTTCATTTTGACTTTAATAGCCTATAAATTATACAAACAGAATGTCGTACGGCCAAGTCGACAATCATAACAGTAACTGGACAGTCGTCCTCACCGAACACCTAGTCATTTTGCATTTATTGTGTGAAACAGAATAACTATCAATAATAAAAATGGAGAAACAAAAGGATTTGCCATTCCCATACGAGTTCAGGGAGCTTGATCCCGAAGAAGATAAATTGGTTAAAGCCAATTTAGGCTGTAAGTTATTTTTTATTTTATTATATTATTCTGGGAGTTATTTTTATGTTCCTAATGTTTACCTAATAATAAAAACAAAAATATATTCCTAAATGCATACGCGACACAGGACAAAATCCTATTGTACCTTTTTAATATAAGTATACTTTTAGATAGTATGAATGAGTATCCTTTTATGAAAACAAATAGAGAAAAATATAAGCAATTCACTGGTCTGCAAAAAAAAAAATTTTAAAGCTACAGCTGAAGCAATTCATTTTTTTCATAGGATTATCCATGGTGAGTTCAATCTTTGAAGAAAGTGTATCACGTCTAGATTTTATGTAATCTGATAACAAAATTGAGTCATTTTAACGTATTTTTATTGCTTTAAAGGTTCATTGCTCAAGGTTATTTTCTTTTTCAGTCTTTCTGACTGGATTTAGGTGTTGCATTGTTCTCACATAATCGAACCAATAAAACTATGTAACTAGAGAATTGTATTGTAAACCTGATTGAAAAAGAGTAACCTATGGAGTTTCTTGCTCGTTCTTCTCCATAGGAATCTACGCCTTGGAATGAGCAACTAGCTTCACTTATAAATTTTTGTTGTTTGACGTTCAAAAGTGCCATCCTGGTCTAATTGAAATAAATGATTTTGACTTTGACTTTGACTTCATATACAATTAACTATTTCATTCAATATATTTTTAACAAATTAATTTTAATGTTACAAAATAATAAATAATAAATCAAAGTTACAAGTTTAATTTTTTGCATAGCACTTCGTATTGTTACTTTAACATTCACCAAAGCTGTATATGTATGGCAGTTAGTTTCTACTGATTTATTGCATGCAACCGGTATTAAAAATAATCTATGCATAATTATGTCTGAATTTCAAACTGCTATAACCCAGTGATGAGATATTCTAGAGATTAAATTAAAAATGATATGAAGAGAATGAGATATGTACTATATGTTATACTTATCAAAAAATGTTTAAGTAATTATAAACGTTATTTTGTACAATGACACGTAATAAGCAAAAAATGATACAATTTCAGGAATTTTACAATAAATTAAATAAAATCTAGACGCGAAGAACCTAAAGGGTTACCGGGGCTCCGGCTCGACGTGCAGGAGAAGGAACGGGGTGGTTTTTAGTCAGTAAGAGTCTGACACTCCCTCCCGCCTCGCTCAAGCGGGAGCAGCCATTCGATGATTTTCCCCCCTTAAAAAAAAAAGGTGCTACTTATGTAAGTAGCTAAGAGTTTTATTTTAAAATAGGTATTAAGGGCAGGTACAAATGGAGCTTTTTACTTGTAGGTTAATGTTTTCATTGTGTGTGTCCCCCATTAAGGAAAATATAAGCGTGATGTTATGTTATATATCGTTGCCTAACGATAATGACACTTTATCAATACCTGCCATCGAAATTACTTAACTTGGAAATAGGTCGCGCTCTAGTTTAGTAAATGAACCAAGTTTAAATGTTGATTTTGAATAAAAATATTAGAATTAAGTAATGTAAATAGAGGAGGCAATAAAATCAGGAACATTATACCTAAGTTTCAGGTGATCAAAGGGCTGGGCAAAGGTTAAGCATTGCCCTTCAACGTGGCAATGCTGCCAGTCTTTTGGGCACCCTACCTCACGAAAGCGATGAGGAAATTTTTTTTTGATGCCTTAACTCGTCGAGTACCGGTTTTGTAGACACAATTATAGAACAATAGGTTGCGGTCACCGGTGACCGCTTGGTGTTTGACAGTTTAATGGGCTCGACGTGCAGGAGAAGGAACGGGGTGGTTTTTAGTCAGTAAGAGTCTGACACTCCCTCCCGCCTCACCCAGGCGGGAGAAGTCGTTCGATGATTTTCCCCCCTTAAAAAAAAGACTTGACAGAGATGTACTTTCTTTAAAGAATGAGATTACCTTGTTTAATGCTACTCAAAAAGAATATTATTTTAGCTGTTACAAAATACTTGTCGACCAGTGTATGTTTATATACTATAAGATGACAATCTTTTTCGGTTTTTTAAACATACCTATTAATATGTTTTGTTTTTAAACGACGCACTAAGCAGATCTCCAAAACCTAATCAATAAATCAGAAATTAATAAGCAAAAACGGTTTTTTCTCATGAAAAATACAAATTTTAAACTTACTCATTGCTAAATGTCCATTTACACCGTAGTAGGTAAATATTTTTAAAACTAATGAAGGTTCCATGAGGGGTCATGCTGTGCCTACATTATTATCATATTGTATATATATATAACAATATTAAATTAAACACAAAATTATCTTACTAATATTATAAGTGCGAAAGTTTATGTGTGTGTGTGTGTTTGTTACTCTTTCACGTCAAAACGGCTGAAGGGATAGAAATGAAATTTGGAACAAGGTTAGATTATGGTCTGGAATAACACATAGGCTACTTTTTATACCACGGGAACGCGGGTAAAGCTAGATAAGCTAGTACTTAAAATTAACAACACATAATATTAAAACACTAAAAAATGTGTTTGTACAACTAATATTTTTTTATAAAAAGACAAAATGAATTCGCTTAAATAGGCTGATTGGGAATCAATAGGATAGAGTACGTATCTACTGATTCTATATATAATTATAATAAAACAGTAAATCAGTGCGTTTGCACATGCTGATCTCCGAAACCAATGGACGGAGTTTAATGAAACTTTTTTTGTTTGAAATAAGTATATTGATTTAAACTAATAAGGCTAAGAAACATTATAGGTATAATTATTTTTTGGGAAATTGAAACAAAATTAATATGCCTATATTATTTATTAGTCAATAGGTAATATAGGTATTCTACGCGGACCAAATTAAAACATGTTTATTATACTTAAATATCATTTATTTTCGAGCTGACTTGTTAAATATTTTTGGATACCTACTAACAATAAAATTACTAGTTTTATACAAAAAATTGATACACGCTGGGAAAAATTCGTATCTCTTTGGTACTATTGACGTCATAGAGTTTATGTTTTTTATGATAAATGTTATTATATGCATAACATGGTTCACACAATCACAGTATTACAAATTGGGAAGTTAGAGTCTTTGAGATAGACGAATACAAAAAAATAAGCTTTAAAATATGTCAACATTAGTCATAATTATCTATATTAATAATTTCGTCAAGGGGTACGGTAGACTCGATCGAAACATTATCTAACTAACAAAACATAAAAAAATATTGATTTCGAATCAACAACTTTGACAAACAAACCGCAGTCGCCATCTTGAGAAGACAATAAACGTTCCGTTTCATACTAGCTCTCAAATACACCTCGCCAATCAACACGTTGTCGCGTTAAAAAAGTATAAATTAACAAGAAATATGAATAATTAGACGAGAACGAAGTCGCGGGTAGCAGCTAGTTTGATAATTGCAAATACATAATTCTAACATCACTTTTTAAAACACGAATATAGAGGTTTAATTAAAAATTTAATCACATGTCATTAAGTAACTGAATAGATGTTTAGAGTTTAAACACTATTTTATTTTATGAATATGCCAGTAAACGAGCAGACGAGTCACCTGGTAAGCAAGCGGTGTCGCCCATGCACACCTAGAACACAAGAGCATTTACAAGTGCGTCTCAGGCCTTTTGGGGATTAGGTGTATGAGGATTATTGGGGATTTAGGGATTGGGGAAGGGGGGGTTGTAATTGGGTCTCCTGTAACCTCACTCACACGCCGAAACGCAACGCAAGCGCTGTTTCACGTCGATTTTCTGTGAGGCCGGGGTATCACTCCAGTCGAGCCGGCCCATTCGCGTGAACCATGACTCCTACACTGAAAACTTACTCCGACTTTTTATACATTTCGCTCCCAGTCTAAGTTAAACTTACTTTTTTCTTAATTCTTCAGCATTCCCAACAAATTTCGTGAAATTGGGACCTAAAGGCTACATGGTGTACAGACCCTACGTGAAAGATGCGGCGAATATCTACAACATGCCACTGAGAACCAACGACGTATTTGTAGCCACTTACCAACGATCAGGTAAATTCGAATAACGTCTTTGTTTACCCAAACATTGGATTAGGCTGTGGAAACTAAGTGGAGCCATAATGGAACTTTATTTGTACGGATATATTATAGGTATTCTAGCAATATAATAATCTTGTAACGAAGAAACACATTACATAGCCCATTAGCTATGTGTAGTTGAGATTTATTATCGTCATCAGTGCAATAGGGTAGTTGCCTGAATTTTATTTTAATGTCCGTCTGGTAGATTAATTTAAAACATTAGACACGTATTTTTTCTTTTCTCACAAAATGAAATGCTTTCGACGATATATTAATCTGAAATATCGTGTGACGTCACAATCCGCTACATTTTGTAGCACTTTGTGACGTAACGATCTCCCACTCCTAAACTTAACTCCATTTTATATAAGTATTGTAACATTATATGGGAAAATAAAAAAATACGTGTCTTATATTTTTTCATTATCTAATTGACGGACTAATTAGATTTTTTACTTTCACTCCCTGGCAACTACCCTATTATGTAAAACAATTAACTGCTTAAATCAATGAAATCTTAATAAAGTCTTAAAAATAATGACAGTCAAATTTCTTCAGGAACGACAATGACTCAAGAACTGGTTTGGTTAATTGAAAACGACTTGAATTTTGAAGCTGCTAAAACATTACTGTCCCACCGCTACATGTACCTCGAGTAAGTACACAGACACAAATAATAGAGAATAATTTAATTTTGTTTCATTTTATTTTACTTGGTAATGCACTCGCCAGTAGTGAGTACTTTTTCAAAAAGTTTGGTATATAGTCACTTTAATTAATTTATTTATTTTTTTAAAATCTTCATGCACAAAATGTACAAAAAGGTGGACTTAATGCCGCAGGCATTTTCTACCAGTCTGACCTTTGGGTGATGCAGAGAAGAGTAAATGGTTGGTGCAAGAGGCAAGCAGTGATTTTATTTAACAATGAAAGATAAACTAATATATTTCGGAGATATACATACATAAATAAATTTAATTATAATGTATACCTACACATGTATTTAATCAAAGTAAGATAATAATATTACGATCCACACATACCAAGCGAACGGATAAACGTATAATTACGAATATTTAAAATAATAATACTTTATTCCCATACAATGTTGGTCTGTTTCTCGGTCTGAGTTTAACTCGTCGAGTACCGTCATTATAGACACAATTATAGAACAATAGGTTGCGGTCACCGGTGACCGCTCGGTGTTTGACAGTTTAAGCATTGCCATACAACATGGCAATGCTGCCAGCCTTCAGGGTACCTACCCTATTGACGCGGATTGATGCAGACGAATTTTTTGATGCTCTCTGTAAATAGTCATTTTTAGTATTCTTTTATTTAATTTTCTCTATTAGTTTTAGTGTATCTTAAGTTGTATATATATTTTTTTTTCTTTTCTTTATATTATACCTACCTACTACCTCGATTGTAATTTAAGATTTTACTTGTTGTGTTTGATGTGTAGTTTCTAAGCTTGTAATAATTATAGCTATTTATTATATATTGTGCATTTGATTGTAGCTCAGGTGAATGTGATAGGTTATATATGTTCCTATGTTTTACAGTTTAATTTTGTTATGTTTTCACTCACTATTCGGTTAAGTTTTGTTATTTGATTTCGTCCAAGAATTTTGTTGATTGTTAGTTTTTAATTTTAATATAAACAATTATAGAGTGATAGTATATTGAGATTTTAGGTATGTTCATTGTAAGTCACAGTGTGGCATTATCACTTGTGATTAAACCCCTTAAATAAAGATTAAAAAGCTTTTTTATAAATTAGCTCTAAGAAATAGTTATAAATTTTGTTATAAATAATTAGTTATAAATGTTATAAATACATTTTGTAATGTTTTAAATTGCTGCGCCCTAACAGGGTAGGTATGTACTGAATTAGTGGTATGTAATACTTCTTATTATATGTACATTGTGCAATATGAATAAATAAATAAATTATTTAAATAAACCTATATTTAAGAAGATACACTGATACACAAATATATATATTTGACAATATTTTGATTTTATGCTCACACACTATTCTTCGTGAATCTGAGTTTCCAATATTATAAATCTTAAAATAAACTATTTCAGCGGATTCATGATCTACGACCCGGAGAAGCAAGAAGAATACAACGGCATATTACCGAATCCAGAAAAACTTGATATAGAAAGATATTTAGAATTGTTAGAATACTTTAGTCGTGAAGGGAGCTCATTGCTCGCTTCAGTACCACCAACAGAGAGAAGATACGTCAAGACACACTTACCTTTGTCCTTGATGCCTCCCACTCTGTTGGACACTGCGAAGGTGGTGTACGTGGCTCGAGACCCTAGAGACGTAGCAGTGTCCAGCTACCATCACGCGCGATTATTGTATTTGATAAATAAGCAGAGCAACTTTAAAGATTTCTGGGAAATGTTTCACCGTGGCCTATGTAAGTAGAGTCAACACAAGTCGACTACATGAAAAGCTTTGATTATATAATGTCATGAAAAGGTACCCGCTGTCACAGTTTTATAAGTGCAGGTTTTTTCTTTCAGATACGCTAACACCATATTTCGAGCACGTCAAAGAAGCTTGGGCAAAGAGGCATGAACCGAACATGCTGTTTTTGTTTTACGAAGACTACTTAAAGGTTGGTACTGAATTCGTTTTTCAAAAGGAAACTAAGTTTTCATTAAAAAGCCATGTTGAAAAAACCGACTTTAACGTCCTTTTATTTTCGAAGTCAGTTAAGTATACCTACCTAAGTATGTTTAGAACCGAAAAAATTGAATATTTTCTTTGTTTATGCAGTGTAGTAAAAGAGGCCGATGTTTTAGCAGTAGACATTTCATAACTGACAATAATCAAGGTTATAGAAAGGACTGCACATTTAACAGTAACCGGGCAGCAGAGTTTCTAATAAATCTGAACCTTTTAAACTGCAATCTCCGTGTAATGGAGGCCCAGAGTCCAACAGTGGACTGTTATGGGTGTTAATGTGTGATAATAATATAATGTTCTGTTCTGGGTCTCATCCATAATTTATAGGGGAGGAGAAAACAGTACTTAAATATAAAATAATAATTTTAGGACTTACCAGGCTGCATTGCTCGTGTTGCTGAGTTCTTTGGTAAAAAGTTGAGTAAGGAACAAATTCAGCGCCTCTGCGAACACCTCGATTTTGAAAAGTTCAAAAATAATGGCGCTGTTAATATGGAAGACTACAGGGAAATTGGAATACTCGCGGACGGAGAGTATTTCATTAGAAAAGGTAAGATACTTTTTACTAAAGCCTTACTTTACTTTAGCCAAATCAGTTCAGCCGTTCTCGAGTTTTAGCGAGACTAACGAACGGAAATTCATTTTTATTTATATAGATTAACATTTATATAGATGAAAATTTCATAAAAAACCGGCGGCATTTTAAAATGCAATAAACGATGTACCTATTCCAGTTATTGTCTACGGTACATTCATAGACAACAGAGTATTTCTTCAAAAATGAATAATATTCTTCGAAAAAATTTGATTACATTTCAATAATTACATATAACGCTGATTAAATTGCGCAAAAATGTAAAAAAAAATTGTTGACAAAAATATTATTATAATATTTTATTTCGAATTACATTTTGATACTGGCCATATTAAGCGAAAAAGTAAGCCATAAAGGTAAAAAAATAATAAAAAATAAATTTTAATGGCACTTCAAAATTATTTTAACGGAATCAAGTCAGTAATAGTTATTTTTTGGTTTGCCCAACAATTCGAACTCTTTAATTTATTGTTAAAACACGCTCAAAGGTGTATTATACTATACTTAAATAATCTTTAGGTTAGATTCTCCAATGATGCTGTAGATACTTTCATTTAAAATTATTTTGCTTTTGATATTTTTGTTAAGTTCTGATATTTTAGTCGCACAAATTAACAATTTATTTCATTTTTTTATGGCATAAGTCAGTAAACGAGTAGACGGATCAGCTGATGCCTGATGGTAAGCAATCGGCGTCGCCCATGGACACCTGGAACACCAAGGTGTTACAAGTGCGTCGATTTTCAGTGAGGCCGAGCCGTCCTATTCTTGCCGAAGCATGGCCCTCCCACCCTTGGCATGGCTCTCCAACAATTAGCATGGCTCTCCCACAGTTAACATGGCTCTCTCACACAGCATACTTAGGACGGAAGCCGTGTATAACATAACGGGTTAGCAAGGCTCCGACTCGAAACAGGAGTAGTTCCGAGTAGAAGCAAGAGTCTGACACTCCCTCTCGTCTCAAGACAAGCTCTTCCCGCCTTGTCTCCTCATTGAATGATTTTCTCTCCTCAAAAAAAGAATGAGTAGGTACCGAATACTTAGGTATCTAAACATAAAAAACGGCAATGTGGTTTTATTTGATTTTATTTGATATTTTAGGTAAAGCTGGAGGCTGGCGCGACTACTTCGACGAGGAGATGACACAACAAGCTGAGAAATGGATTAAGGACAACTTGAAGGATACTGACCTTCGGTTCCCACATATGGAATTATAATCAACTGTAAAATTGTATTATCAAAACATAAGTAAATTAAGTATTGCCTTCCTTAATGTAGGTAAAGTTATTTCGGATTTTTGGATATTATTTATATTTAAACTTATTACTATCTACTTACTTATATTCAAACAACAGAATAATAATGTTTGTAATATTTTTTCTTTGCTGCATAGAAGTACGACGACAAGAGGCACTATGAATTAATTCCATTGCCTACAGATATTTTCATAGCACTAAAATTGTCTATTGTTACTTGTGAGTGTGTCAATTTTGTATTTATTCAATACAAATATGTAGGTAACGGCCACTATTCTTCTTGTTCATTATTTTTTATTTGACTTTCCTGTAATAGATAATATTAATATTTAATAGCAATTTAATATTGATTCATAATATAATTAATTGTTAATGTAACCTTATTTTTATGCACTTGTAAGGAAATAAACTCACGTGTTTTATGTACCAATCTTTTTATTTTATAGCCTTATTCAACCATGTCTAGGGAAACCGAAAAAGAAAAATGTGATCTATGATCTATTCTTTGCGTCCTTGGTACTGGGATTATAGTCTAAAAGTCGAACAAAATCAGAGTGATAGACACTAAGGTACCTACTTGATAATTTTGTCTTCTTTAAGATGACGTCCGTAGAAAAGCGATTAAACTCAAACTCAAACTCAAAAGCATTTATTTCAATTAGACCATAATTTGGTACTTTTGAAACGTCAACAAATATGAGATATATAATAGTCTGTCAGTCTGTCCGTCAGTGAAGCTAGGCGCTCGTTCCAAAATGTCGATTCGAGTGGAGAAGAACGAGCAAGAAACTCCATTCGTTACTCTTTTTAAAAAAAGTCTGTTTTACATTGCTCTGATACATATTCCAATATTGTACACACATGTGAGAATAATGTAAAGACATACCTGACGCAACATACAAATAACAGAACATACTAAAATAGAAAAAAAAAACAAAACCAAGAGAAAACAAATATCTTAAGTCTGACATGGTCCTCACATATGTATACTGACAATCCATATAAAATAGTGCTTCTATACAAGAAAAAAATAAAAAATATACTCTTGTTTAAATAAAGAAAGAAATGCTCGATGCCACAAGAAAAATAGATTGCCTTCATCGGAATCAAAGTGTTAAATTACCTATTATCGTAATCTGAACTAGGTACTGACTACATTTGAGTATTGTCCAGTGGAGCCGAACCAACACGCTGCCAAGCATTCCTATCCTCAAGATAATCAATCACCCTGTAGTACGCTTGTTTACATAATTCGCGCTTAATATATGTTTTAAATTTACTTTCATTTAGATCTAGTATGCTATTTGGTATTTTATTATAGCATTTAATACCTAACCCCATAAAGGATTTCTGTACCTTGGACAGTCTGAATTGCAGTACAGCTAACTTATTCTTGCCTCTAGTATTAAGATTGTGTCTATCGCTTCTTTTTTCGAACAATTGCCTATTCTTTCTTACATACATTATATTTTCATATATGTATTGACAGGGCACCGTTAAGATGTTTATCGTTTTAAACAATTCTCTTAGCGATTCGCAACGGCGTAAGTTATATATTGCTCGGATAGCCCGCTTTTGAAGAATAAAAATTGATTCTATTTCTGCAGCTCGACCCCACAACAAAATGCCGTACGACATAATGCTGTGAAAGTAACTAAAATAGACAAGCCTTGCCGTATCTACGTCCGTGAGCTGTCTAATCTGTCTAACTGCAAAAGCAGCTGAGCTTAATCTCCCCGAAAGCGCCTTTTGCCGTTTAAAACAACATCACAATCATTACTTCGGACGTTTGGTAAACTAAATTTAATACATTTTGTTTTTTTCTCATTAAGCGCTAGATTATTAATGGTGAACCAGTTTTGCACTCGAAGAATGGAGCTGTTTACGTCGTCAAGATTATTAGCACGTCGATCTATTTTAAAAATTAATGAGGTATCATCTGCAAAAAGCACCATTCTTGGTTCATTCTTGAATATAAATGGCAAATCATTTATATAGACTAAAAAGAGAAAGGGACCCAATATTGAACCCTGTGGAACGCCCATATTCATCGTAGAGCCCTGCGAGTTAATACCATTAACATGAACCTTTAATTGCCTATCTTCTAAATAAGACTTTATTAGACAGAGTGCGGTGTTTCTGATCCCGTAGTGATCTAATTTCAGCAAAAGTGTCTCGTGGTCAACGCAATCGAACGCTTTTGAGAGGTCACAAAAGACACCAATAGCATCTTGTGCTTCCTCCCAAGCACCAAATATTTCTTTCATTAAAGTGACACCGGCGTCAGTTGTACAACGACCTTTAGTAAAACCGTATTGTTGTTGGTGAAAGATAGAATGTTTATTAAAATGATGAAGCATTCGAGACAGCATTAACTTTTCAAATACTTTGCTGAGAACCGGCAAAACAGATACTGGCCTATAATTGTTTGGTTCTTTAGTGTCACCACTTTTAAATAATGGGACAACTTTACTATATTTCATTAGGTCAGGGAAAACACCGTCATCTATACTTTTATTGAAAATCACAGCCAAGTATGGCGCTATAGTTTGAATAAGTGATTTGCAAACTTTTACCGATAGTCCCCATAGATCTTCAGTTGATTTGATCTTGATCTCTTTAAAAACTTTTATTATTTCTAGAGGATTCGTATATCGAAAACTAAAGTCGTGCTGACACGATTGTATATGATTCTTAAGCAAAGTTACAGAGAGTGTTGCTGATGACTCTAAATCTTTGGTTGTTTTGATAGGAATGTTGGCAAAAAAATGTTCAAACTCCTGGGCTACATCTACGTTGGATGAAATCTGTCCCCTTTCAGTATTTAAACTTAATTCTGAATTTCTTAATCGTTTCCTACCAGTCTCGTTGTGTATAACTTTCCAAGTAGCTTTTATCTTATCATCAGCTGCTTTTATTTTATTACTAATATAAAGACGTTTCGCGGTTCTGCATACTATTCTAAAGGTTTTTGAATATGATGTTACATACTGATGAAATTGGAGGTTGGTGTTGTATGGTTTCATTCCATAAAGCTCAAAAAGTTTGTCCCTACTCTTACGAATACCGACAGTTGCCCAATCGCTAAATACGAACTTGGTATGAATGTCTTTTGTTATTAGTTAGTAAGTATTGCTAACTAATCTTAATATAGTACCTACGTAGTCAGTTTTTTTGTTTATAATTTCTTTATTACCATAAAAAAGCATACAGTCATTATAAAACACACGGTCAGTTTACAAGAAACATGATATAAAATTACTATGCAGGTTAACGCACCTATTCTAAATCTTTAAATTACATCTCTTACTTCTTGCTCTTCTTACTCTACATCTTGTGAGAGACAATATTCAATGCTCAATATCTTATACTATTATATAAAGCGGAAGAGTTTGTTTTTTTGAACGCCTTAATGTCCGTAACTACAAGTCTGATTTAAAAAAATATTTTTGTGTTGGATAGCGCATTTATCGAGGATGGCTATAGGCTATAAGACATCACGCTACGACCAAAAGGAGCTGAGCAGAGCGTGTGAAACCGCGCGGAAGTAGCTAGTTGTATTATAAAGTTTTGGGTAGTCGTCATAATCATTAAACACCGAGCATACAGTTACCGTTATGAAAACAGTTGCTAATGTCTTTTATATGTGTTCTATCTACATCCGCATGGTTTCCGCTCTGCTCAGCTCCTATTGATCGCAGCGTGATTTTTATAGCCTATAGCATAACATAACATAACATCACGCCTTTTATCGCCGAAGGGGAAGGCAGAGGTGCACACAGAAGTAACACCCACTTTTCACTATTTATGTTATGAGTCCCATTTATTAGGGGGTGAGCCTATTGCCGGGCACATTTCCAGACTCCGTGCTACTACTGAGAATTTTTTGCCCGAAACCCAGTAATACTTTGCCCGACCCGGGAATCGAACCCGAGACCCCTTGCTCGGCAGTCGCACTCGCGACCACTCGGCCAACGAGGCAGTCTACTACTACTACTACTACTACTACAACTAGACAGTCAGTTACATTACACGTGAATGCTTCCGGTGAGTGTCCACCTTAAGGCACTGTGATGCTTTACGTGTACATCGTGGAATCTATTTCGTTTTCGTTCCGAAGTAAAATGGTTATGTCTTGGTAATACAATAGTTTTACAAAGAAATGAAATGATTAAAACAAAAAATAACTGGTGAACCATTGCAAAAAGCAAACATCGAAAGCGCATACGAACTTATAGTACCATTACGTCATGTAATTCTCGAAGATTTATTTCTCGAGTGGCAAATGCGATGCGAATAGTGTCTACAAATTTACGTCTAGTGTTTCATGTGCGTATTTCCATTAACCTTTTTTTTTCAATATGATAATAGGCTCACCCCCTATTACATGGGACTCATAACAAAATAGTGAAAAGTGGGTGTTACATTGTACACTGGCATAATGTGCACCTCTGCCTGCCCCTTCGGGGATAAAAGGCGTGATGTTATGTTATGTTATTTTTTTTCAACTAAATAATAACGTCTTCTTATTTTTACTTTTATATTATAACATCGAGTATTATTGTAGCAGGCAAATTTTTGTGCCGCGAGACAAAAGCGAAATAGATTTCACGGTGTATTGTTTCCTAAACAGCTAGTTTTGATCTAGGCGGCATTTCGACTGCATGCAGGACGCAATGTCGTTTATTAAGGTAAATAAGTTTTAGTCACACGGCTGGACATTGTAGACATAATGCAGTATGCAGTAGATGGAAGGACGACCAGCTGCGGCACAAGGATTCGATTTCCACACAGAATATTTGTTTCTTTATGTGACCCAGTTTAGTTCAGGATCCAGCCGTTATGTACAGTGCAAAAGAAATTACAATTTTGGATTAAACTTAAAAAAACAACATTAGTATTTCCAGGTTTAAGAACTTAAGCTGTAATTTAAAATTGTCTCCTTCAAATCATGCCACTTTTAAGCATAAAGATAGGTACTGTGACATGAGTTTTAGAGCATTTTTAATATGAAGTCCTTAAGCTTAACTCCAATTAGATTCTAAATACATAAATATATGTAGGTACATGTATAATATTTATGTGTACGCTCTATCTAACACGTGTCTGAACAGGCTGAAATCAAATTACTCAGGCTGCACATTGGAGCAGGACATAATTACGATTGACGAGGGATTTCACTTTTGTACATACGACAGCTTTAGCTACCTACTTATCGGGTGAATACTTTTATTTTTAACCGACTTCAAAAGTTTCAGTTTGATACGTATGTATGTACGTATGTACGTATGTACGTATGTAT